CACACACACACACACACACACAGAGAGAGAGAGAGAGAGAGAGAGAGAGAGAGAGAGAGAGAGAGAGCACTCATCCTTAGGGTGGGGAATGCAGATGAGGTCGGTATAGGGTGAAAGCTTTGAGTGACCCCAACCAGACACACACACACACACACACACACACACACACACACACATCTAGCACTTCTAGGATACTCTGAACAGGATATTAAGAAGTCTTCTCAATGGGGCAGGTCTCAAAGGTTCTCACCAACTGTTCTGCTACTGTGCTCTTCAGAATAGCCCGCAGGGTACCTCTGGTTATTCTCTTTAACGTCTGATAAGTGTTGAAGATCTGGGATGTGGAGATTATTTGAGTTTGAAGTGTGCTGGCTATGGATCGGTGATTCTCTGAGCTCACCATATAAGACCCCAGGCAATAAGAGATCAAAACTGGGCCTTACCAGTGGGAGAATCCAGCCATACTCATCATTGTTGACACCAATGATGCTGGGGACAGGGTGAAAATCAGCAGAGGCCAAGAGCTCCTGAGGATGCCTGGGTAGGAACTCTCCATCCACCACAGCAGGGATGATCCTGAAGGCCTGAGGGACATGCAAGGCCAGTATTGAACACACACACAGAGACACACACACACACACACACACACACATGGCCATTGAGTGTTCTCCATCATTTCCCTCTTCCTAGTTTGTCTCAGGACGGTCATCCCCACCACACCTCTCCCACCTCACCCATGAAGACTCCCTCCATGTAAATTAGCTTATGTAGGTGTTCATTTTGAACACAGGACTACAAGGGTGCCAAGCCAAGCGGAAAGAAAGAGTAGTTTGTCCAGAGTAGTGAGTTACACACCCGGTTGTCTCCTATCTTAGCAGTCACACAATTGTGCCAACCTTGTTAATCGCCAGAATTTCTGCTTCACTTTTGTCTCGAAGACAGTGCACCAGGGCCTTTGAGTTCGAAGTTGCACAACCAGATAGCTTTGCCACCATCTGTAATGGGAGAAGATTTGAGTTGGCTCATCCTCCCTGACAGGGAGTAGTATCTAAGCAGTCCCAAGTGGGTACCACTGTCCTTAAATATTACATCATACTGTGTTTTGCATGGATTACAGCATGGTGTAAAATTGTTCCTATTTTCCAGTTGCTTAGAGTTGACAGGTAAGAAGGAGATCATTCTATCTGCAGGTTTTTGTGCGGGTTTTTGTGTGTGTGTTCCTATGTGACAACGTGTATTTTGTGCCACAGTTTGCCTGTGGAAGTTAGAGGGCAAGCTTGGATAGCATTGGGTATCTTCTTCCTTGTTTGAGACAGGGTCTCTTGTTTGCTGCTTCCTACACCAATGCAGAGCACTCCCATCTCTGCTACCAACCTCACCATGGGATCACTGGGATTGCAAATAAATACGATCACATCTAGCCTTACGTGGTTTCTGGGGATTTGAATTCAGCTCTTCACAATGGCAAAGCAGGCTCTCTCACCCACTGAATCATGTCCCCAAATCATGCAGGCTTGCTTATGCTGAAGATGAAAGCTTCTGGGAGCAGCTTTGCTAGCCACATAATGTATTCAGCATGTATAAAGTAGATAAAAGTAGATTTTTAATCCTTGAGCCTCTTAGACGTTATTGGAAAGAAGCCATTTCCCATGGTCTTTGTTTCCTCACTGAACAGAGTACAGAGTACCAGAGCCTCGGGGATAAGGCAGAGAGCTAGGGCTGGGGTGATGGAGAACACTTACCGTGAAGACGATCTCAGAAGTGTTAGAGATAAGGAGAGGCAGCAGGGCCACTCCGCTCTGCATGATGGCTCTGTGGAAGAGTCCTCGGGACATGGGGGACACAACATGGAAAGACACACTTGTGCCACCTGCAGACTCGCCAAAGATGGTGACTTGGTCAGGGTTGCCTCCAAAGTGGGCGATGTTCTGCTGGACCCAGCGTAGGGCGGCCACTTGGTCTAAGAAGCCCCAGTTGCCTCTGGCGTGCTGGTCTCCAGTGCTGAGAAGAGGAAGGGGCATGGATCAAACGTTGCCTAGGTTCTTCTCAGCTGCCATTGTCCACCCCAGTCCTAGTCTCACCTGAAAAAGCCTAGGACACCCAGACGGTACTGGATATTAACAACCACCACATCCTCAGTGGCTGCCAGTTTGGACCCATCATACCAGGAGGCCATGCCTATAATCAGTGCACCACCATGGATCCACACCATCACCTAGAAGACTCAGGAGAGATGCCATGAGCTTCTGTCAGGCACAAGCTCAAGTGGGATTGCCTTCTAGATTAGGGACTGCTTTCTAACAGTTTCTGTGTACAGCTAAACACACACAGGACTCCTCAGCATCTTAGACCCAGGCCACAGATGAGGAACACAGTCTCATCCTCATCTTTCCAAGCCCCACTGCTGCACCAGGAATCTCAGCCTAGATGAACTGATTTAAGTCCAGAGTGATGTCACTGTCACTCTCAGGCTCCTCAGAAGTGTGGAAAAGGGGGTCTCCATAAGAGTTTTTCCTAATTATGAATCCAAAGAATCACCAAATCTCATCGACACAACCAATATCCCAAAGCTGGAAATTGACTTTATCTCAATGTTCATCCCTCGGACACTTGCCTGGGTCTCTAGGGCTCAGGTTGATTTTGTCCTTTCTCATTTTCCTAGGAAAGAACTCTCCACTCCCACCCTATTGACCATGGCCCAACTCTCACAGGCAGGTTAGAGCCCTCACGGGCATGCGCTGGTGTGTAGACGTTGAGATACAGGCAGTCCTCAGACATAGAGATGGGAGGCATGATCAGCTTTATCCTCTTCAGACCATCTAAATTTATTATATCATCATTTTGTAGACACCTGAGGACAATGATAGACACTGATCCCAAGGGATGTTCAGTGATCAACACCTGTTTCTCCCAGTAATATCAGAAGACACACCCACAAAGTCTCACCAACACTGAAGCCTGAACATGAGCTGAATAAGGTTAACATCAGTAGACATCCTGAAGTTGATAGGTGAGGACCATGAGGCCTCAGCCCTACACAAAGAACTACAGGCGACTAAGGGATGCTCAGAGTGGGACACAATGTCTTCCCTAGGGAAGTGCACCCTATAGATTATCCAATACTAAATGGCCAACCACATTATACACACACATACATACATACATACATACATACATATATACATACATAGCATACAGACTAAGCAGGTTATATTTAGGAATAAATATGCATATATACACTACATATATGTATGTAAGAACAATCAGTGACAAAAGAATAAATGAATTTGAAAGAGAGCAAGGAGGGATATATAGGAGGAAAAGAAAGGGGGAAATGATGTAACTATATTATAATCTCAAAAAAAAAAGCAAGTCCCATTTTTTTTCCATTTATCCTCAGTGCCTGCTTCCTTTGTGATGTCCCTTAACACACGATCTCTCTCCACAGTCCCTTCCTATCAAGGTAAAGTCTACTGACTCTGTAGAGACTGGGGGGATCCAGATTTCCAGGGAGGTCTCGAGTGGGGTGGAGGAACCTTAATGAGATTGGAGTGTTGAGACTTCTTAGATTCTCTATGGAGATGTTCAACTGCTTGTAGTGACATTCACCTCTCTCCCCGTACTATCTAATGTTTGGTGTGATGGATGGTTTTGACTGCTGACTCAACACAATGGTACTGGAGTCTCCAGGAAGGATCGTCTAGACCAGGTTGGCCTGTGGGGTTATCTTGATTACATCAACTGAAGAAGGAACACTTGTTTATTGTGAGTGGCGCCATTCCCTAGCAAGGGACCCCTGAACTGTATGAATAGAAAGGTGAGCTGAGCATTAGAGGCACCCGTGAGTTCTTTGCTCCCTCGTCTCAATTACAAATGTGAGGTGACCATCCTCACTGCGATCTCTCCTGAACGGCCTTTCCCCCATGACAGTTATAACCAGAACTGTGACCTGTGGTAAATCCTTCCTCCTCTAAGCTGCTTTTGTTAGGGGGCTTCCATTACAGCATCAGGAAATAAAGTAAAGCACTTGAGAATTTGGGTACTGTGGACACAGTGGAACTGTGGGGAGGAACGGACAATGCTGTCCCTTTATCCCCTGTCCAGATACTCAGGGAACCTCTTTTTCCTACATATTCTCCAGTGTAAGCTTCTATACTCATTCCTTGGACAATGGCACTTACCTTATGTGTTACTGCAATGACTGTTCAGGTAGGGTTGCCAAGTACCGCTGCCCTCCTGAGGGATTTGTAGCACACGATGCCAAACACAACGCTTGTTGCTTAATATAAACACAATGACCTCTGCCCACAGACCTCCCCACTTTAGAGAGTTTACTTGGCACAGTCTGATTCTGGGACCGGTTTGGATATTTTTCTCACTGCAGTACCTGGAATTAAATCCCTGCAGATGCCAAGCTCTGACCCAAGGGCCTGGCACAGTTGTTCCTCTCTAATCCTTACCACATTCATTGAAAAAATGCCTGGGAGATGCCCCTCAGCACAGGCAGAGAACCGTTGTGGACTGAGATGGAGGAGAGACTTCAGCATGACTCAGAGCTCAGAACAAATGTTCCCCCCAGGGCCAGACGTCCTCTGGGTACAGAACTTACATGGCCGGTTGCGAGGTCCCATCTCTCACACCACTCCACGGTTCAGGGGCTTCAGGGGGTGCAAAGCGCAGTGGTCCTACTGGTGCCTTGGCAAAGGGAATTCCCAGGAATCTGTGGACACCAACCTTGGTGCCCCTCACATGGACAAGGCTGCCTCTGACTTTTCCTGCATCTGTGTTTCTGATGGGGTTGGCCTCTGGTGAGTCCTGACCTGTGTGGAGAGATGCCACCAGGGTTAGTTGTGTGCAGTCAGCTCCCACAGATTGTGGGAGTTCTCACCTGCTTGTTACAAGAGCACACGGGAAGGGAACCCAGGACCTCCTAGTTCAGCTGTGGGGTGTGAGCGTAGGAGCTTCTCTATCCCTCAGGGCCAGGAGTCTTCCCCATTTCCCTTTTGAAGGCTGCCAGAGCATTTCTGCCAAAGAGGTCACACACCGAGAGCCATTTGGTAGCATGAAGGTATTATTGTTATTATTACCCAAAGCCAAGAATAGTGATAAGCACACACGGAGGAGGGAAACGCCCCTTCTGCTCTTCTTCTCCTGACCTCAGCTCCACAGAGCCCCTCACACTGGCCTGGCTCCTCAGTCTGCAGTAACCTAGGCATCTCTGACCCTCTGCACGCTAAGTGCTCACTCTGGGTTTGGTGGAGGCCTGGAGTGGCACACATTCTCGTACTTTCGTCTGTCATCTCTGTGAGCGCCTCCCTCCCTGCTGCTTTCCTCCTGCAAGCGCAGCCTCTGACAGAACTGATCCAGGTCCCCATTGTCACTTAGGAGTCTCACCCCGCACATGGAGGAGAATAATCAGGAGTCCACAGGCCACAGCATTCAGCCAGCCAGCAAGTCTGAACAGCGGCATGACAGGCTCCCAGGCCTGAGACTGTTCTGTCCCAGAATGACAGTGTCAACAACCCAAAGGAGATTATATATGCTGCCCAGACAGGACCAGAAGGAATGCAGGTGGGAGAACATGTGGGGTGGGGCAAAGTTTTCACTTCCTGAGAGCTAAAGGCAGAAGTGACAGGAGCCAATGGCCAACAGCCAGGGAGAATACACTTCTGCAGTTCCTGCTCTTTGTCCTGGAAAGACAACTGTATGGCAGAAGCCATGAATTCTGGAATACCAGAAGTCCTGTTCTCAAACCTAGATTCACCACGATCATGGTCCTTGTATTTACTGGCCAGGTGTCAGAGCTGTTGTGGAGGTCAGGGAACAGAGTGCTGTAACAGGAAAAGCCAGGAGGTCTTCTCCAGGTAGGTAAATACTAAAGACGCCACAGATGGAGGGAATGCGGAGATGGAGCTCAGAATGTGGGCATTATAGTGACCATAGGATCCCTCCCCATAGATCTGGTTCATACTGTGCCTCCTCTAGTGGCCAGTTCCTTTGCAGATCAACCTCAACAGTCCTTCATGCATTTGGGAAACTCTTTTCAATGTTTTTTTTTCTTATTTATTTGTTTGTTTATACATTTAATAACAATTTATTATAAGTGTGTATGTAGGTGTGGAGGTACTCATGCCATGACACGCATGTGAGGGTCACAAGGCAACTTCTGGGAGTCAGTTCTCTCCTTCCACCCTGTAAGTATGGGGGCTCAAACTCAGGTTTTTCAGACTTTACTGGACGCCTTCTTACTCACTTAGCCATCTTACCCATTACTCCAACCTGATAACATTTCACGAGGCACTGATGTCTCCATCACTGGGGACAGTCTGGGCTCTGAGAGCCTGGGAAAAGCTGGAGACAAGGGTCTATGGATGGGAGTTCCAGAATCATAGAGAACCCTGGTGAGCTGCATCAGTGAGTACAGGATCAGGAGTTCCCACCTGTTCAGTTTGATTTCTTGGAGGAAGTGGTGTGATGATCCAGGTCAGACAGCCTTTAGTGCCCTCTGAGACCTGCCCTTGGTTCTACCTTCCTAGCCCCCAACAGTCAAGGGACCCAAAGCCTGGCACAGCAGGACTTCCTCCTTGGTTCCCTTCTGGCATCTCTGACATACAACAGTCATGGCTTCTCCTGCCCCTCCAATTTGCAATGCCTACTTTTGATTCAACATTGTGCTTAAAATGCACCTTGTGCAATCTGTGGTCCCAGCCCTTCCTGCCAGGTGCTTCCCCTACTTTAGTTCTGAAAACAAATGAGATGCTGGGAGAACCCAGGGGAAACAAATACAATTTGTCACCTTCATAAAATGGCATAAAGTGACACTAATTGTATGAGTGACAAAGAATGAAAATGAAGCCACAGGAGATGACATCGTAGCAGTGTCGCGAGAATCCAGGAAGTCTTGGGGACAAATATGCTCAGGGACAGGGAATAGGTGTCTCTGCTGCTGGACATTTTTGGACCTTCTGATATCACACTACTTCCAGGACACACTCCACAGACACATATTCATAGATATACTAAGTATGCAAATACGCATTTCATAGCATTTTCAGTTCCTGGTAATAAGAACAAAACTTAGCAGGGCAGGAACACAGACCCAGAACTCCTCCCCACATAGTCCCCCCAAACTCTCATAGACCCCCCACAGACACACACACACACACGCACGCACACACACGCACGCACACACACGCACACACACATACAAATACATTTTATACACTTTTTCGGCCTTGAGGGACTAATGAATATATCCAGACCACTTCTCATTTAAAAAATTGTACCACTTACCCCTTGGTAAAGGCAGAGTTTATTGACTTGAGTGCCATTCATAGGTATCATCTAAGTTGTTTTGTATGTTGCAACCCAATATGAAATTAATAGTTGGGGCTGCATGCTCTTGAGTAGGAAGAATAAACATAGTAAAAATGGCAATCTTACCAAAAGCAATCTACAGATTCAATGCAATGCCCAGCAAAATTCTTCACAGACCTCAAAAGAACAATACTCAACTTCATATGGAAAAGCTAAAAACACAGGATAGCCAAAGCAATCCTGTACAGTAAAGGAACTTCTGGAGACATCACAATCCCTGACTTCAAACTCTACTATAGAGCTACAGTAATGAAAACAGCCTGGTATTGGCATAAAAACAGACAGGAGGATCAATGGAATCTAACTGAAGACCTAGATATCAATGCACACACCATGAACACCTGAGTTTTGACAAAGAAATTGAAAATATAAAATGGAAAAAAGAGAACATATTGAACAAATGGTGCTCACATAACTGGATATCAACATGTAGAAGAAGGCAAATAGATCCATATCTATGGCCATGCACAAAACTCAAGTCCAAATGGATTAAAGACCTCAACATAAAACAAACCACACTGAACCTCATAGAGGAGAAAGTGGGAAGTATACTTGAATGCATTGGCAAAGGAGACCACTTCCTAAATATAACCCCAATAGCACAGACACTGAGAGAAACAATTAATAAATGGGACTTCCTGGAGAACCTGAGAAGCTTCTGTAAAGCAAAGGACACAGTCGACAAGACAAAATGACAGCCTACAGAATGGGAAAAGATCTTCACCAATCTTACATCAGACAGAGGGCTTATCTCCAAAATATAAAAAGAACTCAAGAAACTTGATAGCAAAAGAACAAACAATCCAGTTTCAAAAATGGGGTACAGACCTAAACAGAAAACTCTCAACAGAGGAATCTAAAATGGTTGAAGGACATTTAAGGAAATGTTCAACATCCTTAGTCATCAGAGAAATGCAAATCAAAAGAACTCCGAGATTCCATCTTACACCTGTCAGAATAGCCAAGATAAAAAACACTGATGACAGCTTATGCTGTAGAGGATGTGGGGTAAGAACACTCCTCTGTTGCTTGTGGGATTGCAAACTTGTGTAGCCACTTTGGAAATCAGTATGGCAATTTCTCCGAAAATTAGAAAACAATCTACGTCAAGACGTAGCAATACCACTGTTGAATATATACCCAAAGGAAATTCATTCATACCACAAGGACATGTGCTGAACTATGTTCATAGCAGCATTAGTGTAATAACCAGAACCTGGAAACAACCTAAATGCCCCTCATCCAAAGAATGGATAAAGAAAATATGGTACACAATGGCATACTACTCAGCGGTTAAAAAAAAATGACATCTTGAAATTTGCTGGCAAATGGATGGATCTAGAGAAAAACCACATTGAATGAGGTAACCCAGACCCAGAAAAACAAATATAATATGTGCTCACTCATAAGTGGCTTTTAGATATAAAGCAAAGAAAAACCAGCTTTCAATTCACAATCCCAGAGAACACAGAAAACAAAGAGGACCCTAAGAGAGACTAGGATCTAATATTCACGGGAAGTAGAAAGACATTATCTCCTGAGTTCATTGGGAGTGTGGGGATTCTGGGAGAGAATAGAAGGGTAGAGAGAAGGAAGGGAGGCTAGTGGAGAAAAATGTATAGCACAATAAAAATAATAAAAAAGAAAAAGTAAAAGAGTTGGGGCTGGTAGGAGGTTGTCATATCATGTGTACCACTATTTATCTTGAGAACACAAGGTAAGATCTCTGGTACAGAGAGCTGGCCTTTGTTACCCAGCAAATCTACTGGCATCTTGACTCTGGACTTCTTTGTTTCTAAAACTGAACACATTTCATTTGTTTATAAGCTACATAGTTTAACACACACACTTATTTACATATGTAATATATATTATTGAGATGTAATGCTCCATTACCAAACGAACTATTTTTTGCACTTTTTATTAATTAATTTTTTCATTTATTTTACATCTCAATTGCAGTTTCCACTCCCTCCTGTCCACAGTATTCTTGAAATACTGTGTTATTGAATGTCATTATGTAGAAGTTTACAAACAGATCCATATCTATCACCATTCATAAAACTCAAATCCAAGTGGATCAAAGACTTCAACATAAATCAATTTACACTGAACCTAACAGAAAAGAAAGTGGGAAGTACACTTGAATGCACTGGCACAGGAGACCACTGCCTAAATATAACCCCAGCAGCACAGACACTGAGAGCAATGATCAATAAATGGGACCTTTTAAAACTGAAAGGCAAAGGGCACGGTAATTAAGACAAAACAACAGCCTACAGAATGGGAAAAGATCTTCACCAACCCCACATCAGACAGAGGGCTGAGCTCCAAAATATATAAAGAACTCAAGAGATTAGACATTTAAAGGATAAATAACCCAATTTAAAAATGTGGTACAGATATAAACAGAATTCTCAACAGAAGAATTTCAAATGGCTGAATGACATTGAAGGAACTGTTCAACATCCTTAATCATCAAGGAAATGCAAATCAAAACAACTTGAGATACCATCTTACACCTGTCAGAACGACTAACATCAAAAACACTGAGGACAACTTCTGCCGGAGAGGATTTGGAGTAAGAATACTCCTCTATTGCTGATGGGAGTGAAAATTTGTACAACCACTTTGGAAATCGATATGGTAACTTCTCAGAAAATTGGAAATCACTCTATCTCAAGACCCAATGATGCCACTCTTGGGCATAAACCCAAAGGATGCTCAAACATACCACAAGGACACTTGCTCAACAATGTTCAAAGCAGCATGATTCCTAACAGTCAGAACATGGAAACAACCTAGTTGCCCCTCAACCAAAGAATTGATAAAGAAAATGTGGTACATTTACACGATGGAGTATTACTCAGTGGTAAGAAACAATGACATTAAGAAATTTGAAGACAAATTGATGAAACTAGAAAAAAAAATCAACCTGAGTGAGGTAACCCAGTTTCAGAAAGACAAACATGGTACGTTCTCACAAAAAGTGAATACTAGATGGATAAGCAGACTACAATCCACAGCTCTAGGGAAGCTAGATTAACAAGGAAGACTCTAAGATGGACACAGGGATCTCTAGATGAAAAGAAT